CAATAGGCTAACAAATCATGCAAAAATGGAGCCAAAATGGAGATATAAAGGCAAGTGAAAGATAGAAGCCTCAAACAGTAATGAGCCCTTCAACAATGTTGAAGAAGGGCTTAAAATAAGCAACTCTTCAGTTTATGGCATGCCTCAAAACAGATTATACATAAGCCAAAAATACTACACAAGATAATGGCATACAAGAGGGATAATGAAGCAAGTGCATCAAGGGGCCTCAAACAGTGAGGGGCCCTTAAACAAAAGTGAAAAGGAGCTCAAAAAAAATTCCACTTCCAGTTAGGGCCGGAGCTCAAAACAGCAAGCATGTATGACTTATGTATTGAACAAAATATGGACCAAAAGAGGGGAAATGGAGCTTACCCTTGAAGACTTGACTTTGGCACCCTTTTGGCTTGAGATGTAGCACTCATAGGCCTTGAAGAAGAGCCTCCAGTTGCTGGAATGAAGGATGGAAGGGTAGAGCTTGGTGGTGGTGTGGAAAGGGGTATAGGACTTGGAAGGTTTGAGCTTGGAAATAGAGAAGGAGATGGATATAATGCAAAGGGCTTGAGGGGATTTTTTGTAACCCTAATATCAGAGCTGGAGCCTCTGATATATAGGCAAGAATGGAGGGGAAAAGGGGGAAAAAATGGAGGGAAAACATGCCAAGTTTCCCTCCAAAAAGCAGCCCCCCGAATGTAGAATCTGGGGGGAAAATGAATGCATATTTGCACTGTAGATGATGTAAGGATCATGGCCGGCTGCTTATCTGGGTTGCAGGTGGCCGGCCGGCTACTTCACATGGCCGGCCGGCCAAGGGTCAAAAGGGTCAAGTGTGATTAATGGCCGGCCACCACAAAAAGAGAGCCTCTGATGTGTGCACAACACAACCCTGTGGTTGAACACTGGAAAAAGTGAACCAGGAGAGAGAACAAAAATAATAGCATTTTACGTATACAGGTCAACCCACCGGTCGACCCACCGGTTGGCCAACCGGTCGCCCCACGACATTTGATGCACCGTTGGAGTGGGTGATATCAGATTTGGTGAAATGGATCATTTTTTACTCAAATTTGATGAAAAAAGAAGTAAACCGTTGGAGATGCTCTTAGAGAGTTATTTACATATCTTTGTATAAATAAACATGCAATCATCTTGAATGAATATAGTTTTGTTCATAACTTTCTTCAAATATAAGCAAAAATGTTGTGACCTATTTGAGGTTTGAAGTGCCACTCAATTTGTCTCAATTTATAATTTCCAAAATACATGTGTCATCTAACAATTGGTTTAAAACCTAATTTAGCTAAATTAAAATAATATTAAAATTCTCCTAATGAATTCCATTAGTATAACAATAGTTATGGAATTAAATACCATAATAAAATCAATAATTACAGAAATGACAAAGACTTATTTCAAAAGGCAATTTTTCTAGAATTTTGAATTAAAGAAAATACAAAAACATATGTCATAAATCATTAGCTATTTCACTTTAATTATAATTATTGACTATTTGATTATTATGGTAATATATTTCAAATTCCTTGATTTGTGGAAATAAATAAAGAATCTTTAATTTATGACATTGTTGTGGAAAATAAATCAGAATTTTAAATCTTTATTTTTTTTTTTTGTTGTAAAAGTTAAGAAATATATGTGACATATAATTATTGGCCCATCCAATTATATTGAAAATTTTTAAACATTTAGATATAGAGTTCAAAATTGAATCTTAGATGTATTTAAATTTCATCTCATTTAAATTTTTATTTTTGAAAGTTAAGAAATACATACATACATACATATATATATATATATATATATGGCATGAAACTATTTGTCCATCCAACCATATATCTAAATTGAAAATTTGAAAACCTTTTAATGGAAAAGTACATAACAGAATATTTTAGCTACATTTTAGATGAAAAATCTAAAATAAAATTTTAAATATCTAATTTGAAATTTTAGAATCATGAATTTAAAATATCAAGAATAAAATTTTAGTAATATAATGATGACTAAATTTGATACTATGTTGTGGCACCCAAAACACTAAACTACATATGCCATGCAGTTAATATCCAGTAAGGTGTCATGTTTCATGATGGTCAAATATAATATTAAAATACGGTCGTCCTAACATTGCTCTTTTTAAAAATTTGTAGAAATTATTATTTGAAGTATGAATTATACATAACAAAATAATTTTTAAATTTTTTTTTAGGTAAATTAGGAAACTATTCTTAAAGTAAATAAACACATCATCTTTTAATGATACCAGGGTCTAATTTATTGGCCAATAAATAAATAAATAAAACATCCCTCAAGCCTAGACCAAAGTTCTTATCCATAAGTTAGGTCTTGATCAATAAAATGATTTGACATAATTTTAAATTAAAATTGAGCCAAAAACTTAAGCTTGTGTGCTAACCTGTTTAAATCTATATTTACTATTATGTATAGTAAAATATTATAATTTATGAAATATTGATGTTTATATGCCTCTTTAATTAATATCACTTAAGTCATGGTTTCAAGTACACATCATATACACACATATATACTTACTATTATATAAAACAAAATATATATATATATATATAGAGAGAGAGAGAGAGAGAGAGAGTCATCACCTAATTAGGTGGATTTGGTGGAAAACATTAAGATCAAGGTGGCGTTTTGGATAAAGCAATCGTTTAACCTGCCAAAATTCTTAATTCATGACTTTTTGTTTTGTTTACATGGCATCAAAGGTTACAGAGCTAGGATCTCATAATGATGTTCTGTCTTTTGTTTGTCTTCTTCTTTGTAACTCTTCTGGTTGAGTGCTCATCCGCCTTCTCTTGGTTTGTGCTTGCACATGATTGGGTTCTCTAATAGGTGGCAACCTAGTTGGGATGTATTTTTGAACTATGATGCATTTGTGCCAAGCATTTTTTTTGTACTTCATTTTTATCAATAAAATTCCATTTTCTTTGCTGATCAAATATATATATATATATAGAGAGAGAGAGAGAGAGAGTCATTAAGACTCAGAATCTCAATGCAAATTTATCAAATTATTAAATTTATAAATTATAAAAATACACGTCGTGAAAGTGTGAGTTTTGTTCAATATGGTAATATTTCTTGGACATTTAAGTTAAATCGAAGTGAGAATCAGAAAATTTGAAAATAGGTTAAATATTAAGTTTTGCAAAAATTTAACATGAAATTTAAATAGTAATAATAAAAATTTTAATTATTGAAAATGTAAAATTAAAATATCTAAATAGTAATAATGGAATTTATAACTTTTGCTCTTACCAAGCACCATACTCAAATATTATTTTAATTTATATTTTTATAGTTTAAAAAAATAGAGTAAAGTTTAATATGTATTTCAAATAACTTGATCCTTAAAAAAAATAAAAAAGAGTAAAGATTGAAAGATTCATTTAATCATCTAATGCATTAACATCCAAAAACTAGAAAATAATATCGATAATTTTTACTTTCCCCTTTTGAGACGTTATAAAATAAAATTAAATGATTTAGAATGAAATCTAAATGTCACTGTTTAAAAAAAAAATTAAGACACCATTTTTTTTTTCTCTAAAAAGAATATAAATAAATAATATGGGAGCCCGAAATGGGTTTGTCCCATATCGGTCTGAGAAGCGTTCAACACTTACTTAATAAGTTGACTAACTCTTCCTGACTAGGATGAGGCATTTTCTACAGAAGAACAAAACCGTGAGGCTCCGGCCAAAGTGGACAATATTGTGTTAGTAGGGTTGGGTTGGTAGCTTCATTTGGCGCCGTCTGTGGGAACTCCCTCCCATGTGAGTCTTTTGGCGTTTGGAGCCAATTAACTGGGGACTAATGTGGGAGCCCGAAATGGGTTTGTCCCATATCGGTCTGAGAGGCATTCGCAACCCACTTAATAAGTTGACTAATTCCTTCTAATTGGCATGTGACCTTTTCTAAAGAAGAACAAAACTGTGAGGCTCCGGTCAAATCAGACAATAACATGCTAGTGCGGTTGGATTGGCAGTGGGTTCGATTCCCATAGACTGGGAGCCCGAAATGAGTTTGTCTCACGTTAGTGGGAGAGGCATCCACGACCTACTTAATAAGTTGACTAAATCCTCCTAACTAGCAAGACCTTTTCTAAAGAAGAATAAAATTGTGAGCCTCACGATTTTGTTCTTCTTTAAAAAATGTCTCATACAAGTTAGGAGGAGTTAGTCAATTTATCAAGTGAATTGTGGAGATGTCTTAGATCAATGTGAGGCAAACCCATTTCAGACTCCCATAAATAAATATGAGTTACCTAAAATGGCTGTGAGATAATCCCAACTCGTTTATGATCACGGAACCATTCTCAGCCGCTGATCAAAAAGATATATAAAAAAAAAAAAAACAAACAAACAAACAAAAAAAATAAAACAAAAGAAGTTGGTGTGACATGAGGGTTCTGCTTACCCACGCACCATAAATCTAAACCACACCATAATTTTAAACCTCCAACAACCATGAATGACTCTCACTACATTACGCATCATCATCATCATCATCATCATTTCTACCAGGGTAAATTACTAGTATATAGACAAGATATGATAATATTTTGAAAGTTGCTAATAATTTTCTTTCATCATCATCCCAAATCGTTCAACAACCTTTCAAACTGTTGAACATTCTATATCTACCAGCCAAGACCGTCAAAACCCTAATTCAAAGCTGTAGCATTTCACATATTTGGGAAGTTGGGTAGGTGGCTGTTTTTGATTAAAATAATTAATAAAGATAAAATAGGCTAAAAATATTGAATAAGAAAAAATGTCACATTCAAATCATAACCATTTTATTTTTTCTTTCATCATTATCAAATTAACTAAAAAAAAAGCCAACTATCATTCTAAACATAATTTTTTTTTAGTTAGGTTAAAATAATTAAGTTTCCAAACAAGTCCCCTATTATATATATATATATATATATATGTATATAACACCCAGTTCATACACACACAAGTAAAAGCATTTGCACAAGATACTCTAAACTAGTGCAATTGCATGGTTAAGAGTGAGTCGGTGACAATAGAACAGAACAGATATAAAAGGAAAATACACAAAGCAATATTAACTTATTAGATAAGCCATATATGGGCAGTGGCAGCACCCCACTTCTGGTGAATAACAACCATGAGGAGGAAGACCGAAAACCAGTAAGGGCGGTGGTAAGGGAATTTGGTAACGAGTCAAAGAGGCTATGGAAGATAGCCGGCCCGGCCATATTCACCTCCATATGCCAGTATTCCCTCGGTGCACTCACTCAGACTTTTGCTGGTCAACTCAGCGAGCTCGACCTCGCCGCTGTCTCTGTCGAGAACTCCGTCATTGCTGGACTTGCTTTTGGTGTCATGGTAAGCTTCTTAACCTAATTTTTTATTTTTAAGTTTTTATCATGCTATATTTATTTGTGATACTGGCCAAGTGTATCATGAAAACCGGCTTGTTTGGTAGAAGTTATAAGCTATTTATTTCAGTTTTTAGCTTAATTTAAATTAAAATATTGTATTTGGTGTAGCTTAAGTTAACTAGCTTATAGCTTAATTCAAGTTATTTCTTAGCTTATCTCAAAAGCTGGTCAGGGAGTGTTTAAATTTTTTACTTAAGTACGCAGCTAGTGTGGGGGGCTAAAATTACTTAAATGTCCTCGTCAATACCCAAATATTAATATTAATTAAAAAATAAAAAATTGTATATTTCTGAAGAAAAAGAAAAAAATCAATATTAATTGAAAAATAAATATTAATTGGTATTAATTATTAATAAATTCATATTGTATATTTCTATATTAATTAAAAAATAAAAAATTATATATTTATGAAGATAAGGAAAAAATCAATATTAATTAAAAAAATCAATATTAATTCGTATTAATTATTAATAAATTAATATTGTATACTTTTGTAATGAATTAATTATTAATTGATACTAATTAATAACAATTGTTGATTATTAATATTAATTGATACTAATAAAAATTAAATATTAATATTAATTTATACTAATTAATAATTTTAATATTAATTGAGACTATTAAGCCATTAATTGATACTAATTAATAATTTTAGTATTAATTGATATTAATTAATTTATAATGGAAAATAATTGTGATAATAATACTTCCATTACATTTTTAGCAAATGTATCAATTTTTATGTTAATTGATACTAATTATATTAACTTTTATTAATGAAATATTTTTTAAAAAAAAAATTAAAACTGAAAAAAATGACAAAATAATCATTTTTATATCATATAAGGATAGAAAGGATAATTATACAGTAAAAAGCTATTTTATAACTTATTAACCAAACACTACTCTGCTGCTTAAATTCATAATCTCATAGCTACACCAAACAGGTTAACAGCTTATGTCTACAGGTATAAGTCATAATCTGTTAAGCTATAATCTATAATCACTTTTCCACAGTTGTACCAAACGGGCCAAACATTGATGACTGTATAAGCTTTTGGGGTCATTATTCAGTAATCCAGAAATATAGATACGTGGTACTCCATAACATTGTGATTGGTGAAGAATGTGAATAGGTGAGATATTATGTTGGGTGCTTGAGGAACATGAGGGGACATATTAAATGATAATTGGTTAGGGAGTATGGACACATAGTACTCCGAGATTATTGAATAATTTTCCAAGGTTTTGAGATGATTTTCGTGATTTTTATTTTTATTTTTGTTTTTATTTTTTTGTGGGTTGTGGCATTCATGATGGATCCATAGATAGTTTATTTTTGTGTGGATATGCTTCTTGCTCCGTGCAGAGACTAGTAGGAATGTGTTTTTGGTCTATTACGTAAGTTCTGTTTGGATAGTGAAATTTCCAATGAATTTGAAATTAAATTACCTAAAAATGCTTACAGTCAACTAATATTATAGACAAGTTACAAAACTAAATGGAAAGACACATGAGAGTAATATGCAATCGTAGTCTCATGACAAATTTCAAACAATTATTTGAAAAATTACTTCGATAGTCATTGCATTTTGCTTATTATATCATTTTTATTTTTTTTAATGTTAATTAACTTGGTTTTAACCTTTAATTTTAGATTTTTGAAAGAAAATAATCACTGAGTTAAACAAGTTTACAATTTTACTTATAAAAATATGACACGTCACTTGTGTGTGCATTTTTCATCAAAAAATACTAACAAATTAATCAATTAGATCAAATTGAGACAAAATTATAAATTCATAGTTAAAATCGAACAAATTGAAATTACAAAAGCCAAAATTACATAATGACCGAATTATAAGAACTATAGTATAACATAATTTGTCCTAAATATTTTTACATTGTATTATAAATTTATTATAATCTATTATCGTAAATTTCTCAAGTGCAATCTTGAAATCTATATCTAAAAACTATCAACTTTGATTTATTATCTTGGAATGATTAGTGTCTAAATCTTTTTAAATATATAACAGTATGCAGATGGGTGTAAAGTAAAATTTGATAAATATATTCAGTGGCATAAAATATTAAGAACACCGACAAACAAATTTACTACTACACTAGCAAATTTTGAGTGACCCCACCAAACAATGTCAAGTCCCATCAAAATTTGTAAATATATAACCATTGGAAGGGTTGACGTTTTAAGAGCAACTCTGACATTTTGCTTGTGAAAAGTATACAAAAAAAGAATACAACACCAAGAGGTAAGGGGTATGGTCATAATTTCATAAAGAATGTAGGAATAATTTAGATGTACAACTAAATATAACCAATAAATATCATTTTACAACCACTTTTCTTTTACATATAATAGTATGCAGATGGGTGTAAAGTAAATTTGATAAATATATTCAGTGGCATAAAATATTAAGAACACCGACAAACAAATTTACTACTACACTAGCAAATTTTGAGTGACCCCACCAAAACAATGTCAAGTCCCATCAAAATTTGTAAATATATAACCATTGGAAGGGTTGACGTTTTAAGAACAACTCTGACATTTTGCTTGTGAAAAGTATACAAAAAAAGAATACATTCTATAGCATTATACTCTAATAATATTCTTTATTTTTTGATAATTAAATTTTCTAACTAATTTATTCTTTATAGTTATGAATTGTTTGAAATGATTTAAATAAATATCTATATTTTTTAATTTTTTATGAAAAAATGTACAAAAAAAAAAAGAAAGAAATAATGTGATTCAAATATGTACACTTATGATTTGTGCCGAATAGTACATTAGTCTCTCTTAGCCCTCCAATGACTAGCCTACTTGCAAATGAGGCATAATACATAAAATGCCTAACAAATACAATATGATCAATAAATCAATATTTATGGTCAAATTATGATTAGAACCATTTATACTGGTGACATGGCAGGATTATTCAATTCTTTTGTCCTTTTTTTTTTTTTTAAACACTTAATAATTGTTAGAATATAGTCTCTAAAAGGTTTAAATAATCTAAGGGTAGTAATGATTTAGGATAGAAAAATTAAAGAATTTATTCTAAAGATAGTAATGATTTAGGATAGAAAAATTAAAGAATTTGAGAAGAGATTATTATCCTCGCCCGGACAACGAATAATTAGCCGATAAAGTCCTTGGACTTATCATATGCCTATGTTAAATTACTAATGTCAAATAGCTAGTGCACGTGACATCCTTCAAGATTTAACATATGTTAAATGTGTCCGAATCGTCTGTCGTGGTTTCCTGCGGTGGCTCATGCGGCGGTTCAAAACGACGTTGTTTTGGACCTCTTTTTTTTTTTTTTTTTTTCTCTCTCTCTGCTATTAAGCCTCTCTTTCACTTCCTCTTCCTCTGATCTGCTCCAATGGTCTCAAATTTGTTCCGATCTGCATCGCCTTGAAGAGATTGGCAAAGATCATTTGTTGAAAAAAAAAAATCAACTGGATTTGATTCATGATGTGTTTTTTTTGAAACATACACTTGATTTGAAAAACTTGATTTGAAAAAAAAATAAGTGGGTTTGATTCATGAAGTGTTTTTTTTTTGAAACATACACTTGATTTGAAACACTTGATTTGAAAAAAAAAATCAACTATTTTTCTTGGCAAAGATCATCTTTGTTTTTTTTTGGAACATACAAATCATTCATGAAGTTTTTTTTTTTTTTTTTTTTTGGATATATACATATATTTGAAAACAAAGTGGGTTTGAAAACTTCAACATCAGATTCACGAAGTTTAGATTCATATACAATTTCAAACTCATATCAATATTTGAAAACAATTTCATATATATATATATATGTATATATATACATATATGTGTGTGTGTGTGAGAGAGAGAGAGAGAGCGAGATATATATGGATAACAGAGGAAGAGCTAGTTGTAGATAATTTTGCAATTTTTGTTAATGGTGCTGAGTTGAATCCATTCTATGGCCATCCATTTTCATCACTGTGTGTTTGGGTGAGAGATGAAAGAGAAGAAAAAGAGGACGTCGTTTTGGACCAATTTTTTTTTTTTTTTCCCTTCTTCTTCTTCTTTTGCTGTTAAGCCTTTCTTTCATTTCATCTTCCTTGGATCTGCTTCAATGGTCTAAGATTTGTTTTGATCTGCATCGCCTTGAAGAGATTGGCAAAGATCCTTTGCCCAAAAAAAAAAAAAATCAAGTGTGTTTTTTAATGAATTGTGATTGTGTTTTTTTTTTTTTTTTTTTTGAAAACAAATCTATCTATACATATATTAGAAAACAAAGTGGGTTTGAAAACTTCAAGATCAGATTCATGAAGTTTAGATTCATATACAATTTCAAACTCATATCAATATTTGAAAACAATTTCATATATATATGTATGTATATATATACATATATGTGTGTGTGAGAAAGAGAGAGAGATGGATAACAGAGGAAGAGCTAGGTGTAGATAATTTTGCAATTTTTGTTAATGGTGCTGAGTTGAATCCATTCTATGGCCATCCATCTTCGTCTCTGTGTGTTTGGGTGAGAGATGAAAGGGAAGAAAAAGAGGCTTAACAGCAAAAGAAGAAGAAGAAAAAAAAAAAAAAAAAGCTTCAAAACGACGTTGTTTTAGACCACTGCAGGAAGCGCTGCAGATAACCACGGCAGACGATCCGAACTCATGTTAAATAGCTAGTGCACGTGGCATCCTTCAAGTCACATCACATCTCTATCACATCACATCACATCACATCCTTCAAGTCACATCACATCCTTCAAGTCCTTCAAGTCATATTATCTTATCTAAGTCACATCACATCTCTATCACATCAGTTCAAACTCAATCCATACTCATCCTATATTTCATAAAAAGTCAAAAAATACACTTATTTAGATCATCCTAAACCACCCCTTAATAATTTTGGTTTTTATGTCATAAATGACATAGGAAAAACTTATATAGTAATTAATAAATATACTTTATATTTTTAAATTATTGTGAAATGGTTTACTTAAATTTTGAATTATTAATTGAGTCTATTTAATTCTTAAAGTATATAAATTAAAATCTATTTAGTTCTTAAACTATTGATCAAATTTATTAAGTTCTTAAAGTATTTAATTCAAACTTATTTAGTCCTTCAAATGATTATAAAAATAAAATAGGAAATTTTTTTTTAAGGTCCTTGGTATTGAGATTTTATAAGATAAATGACATACAATATTTTCATAGTAGTTAAGGTCCCTCAACAATTCTACAGAAAAAATTCAACTCAGAGAAATTTTGTCAGGCCGAAATTTCTCTGAGTCAAATTTTCTTTGTGAAAATGTTGAGGGACTTTAACTAATAAAAAAAATATTTTGGACCTCTCTTATTACACAAAGTTGGAATGAGATGTTTCACTATAAAATATATGCTCATAAGTATTATAAATTAATAAACAACAATGTTAGGTAGCTCAAAATTGTGTGGCTCAAATGGCTCAAATCACTCAAAACGACGTCATTTTGATTGTAAATGCATGTAAAACGACGTCGTTTTGACAGATTTGAGCCATTTGAGCCACAAAAATTTGAGCTACCAAACATTTTCCATTAATAAAAGACCCTACTAAAAGTTAAGATTTTATTCTAGAAAATCTTAAATTTCTATTTTGTCTTTAAAAAGTATTTTATTTGTTGTATGTTTGAATTAATATTAGAGTCCGATTTCTCAGTGTTAATAAAATTATACGAGTATTAGACTTACTGAAGAAATAAAATTAGATAATTTAAATAATAATCTTTCACTGCAAATTATAATAGAACAAAATAATACATTAATTATGTTATAAAAAGAATTTAACGAAAAACTTAAAAGCAATCCATTTAAAAATTATAAATGAAATTCGGTATATAATAATAAATAAAAGCAAGCAAGTAGTTATTATAGAAGATAAGTGAAAAAATATTATAGATAATTATCCTTACCCTTATAGAGAAAATTCACCAAAAGAATTGACGCCCACTTTTTAAAGCAGAATAAACAATCAAGTTTATTTGAAAAATATAATACTTACGAGTATATATTTTATTTTTATAATCCTATCAGGGATTAAATAAGTTTGAATCAAATAATTTAGGAACTTAATAAATTCAATTGACAATTTAGAGATTAAATAGATTTTAATTTATATACTTTAGGAACTAAATATATTCAATCAATAGTTTATGAACTAAATAAATAATTTGACGATAGTTTAAAAATAAAAAGTGTAATAAACCCCTTTTTTTTTATTAGCTCATGTAACAAAGTCTTTTACAATATAAAATAAAATCTACTTCGATAATGTAATAAATATCTGAATAAATAAAATTAAAATTATTAACTTATATATCAATATTCTTGTGGCAACATTATTCATATAGGAATCCACGAAAACTCCATACAGAGAAATGATAGAAATACAACCACATTTCGATATCACTTGTAACACATAGAACACATTTGCTACGATAAGATGGGTTAGAATGAAATATTCATTTTAGTTTTGTATTCTATTTCCCTTATTTGATATGTCTCATCTAAGTAAGAATAATTATTTTAATGGAATGACTGTTGAAACAAAATATGAGAATGCATATTCCTTCTTCTAAACTTGTAAATTGTACTTTGTCGTTCTTAAGTTTTATAATTTTTCATTTCTTGAAGAATGCACTCAAGGAAATTAACTCCGCCATCAGAGAGTAGAAATATGACTTTACAATAATTTTTTCTAACTTTGGCCTTTAATGTTTGTAATTTTTCCTAATTTACTCCCAAAATTAACTTTTGTCCAATTTTAAACCTAAACCCAAATTTTAACCATTGTCTCTTTCTCTTCTTCAAATTCAGCCTCAAACTTTTACTATTCCTTCAGTCTTCCCCCTACACCAACTTCATCAAATCTCTATTTTCATTGCCCCCTCTATCCCCTTCCTTCATCATCCCATCATGTATCATGATCGTCATTCATATACATTTAGACACCTCTCTATTTTGAAATTAGTTAAGTGAAAAAAATAAAAAACTAAATTAAAAAATATGGTTTTCTTATGGTTTTCTATTTTCAGGGATTTTTTTTTTAATTCAAAAATATATTTTTTGTTTTATTTTCGAAATTGTTACTAATTTTCACACACACGCACACAAAAAAAAGAAGGGAAAACAAGTTCTCAAAACTAAAACTAAATTTTAATATAATTTATTTTATTCAACATAGTTATCAAAGTGACATTTTTCATCCAAAATTGGACGGTACTTTGTTTTGGAAGTAAATTAAGAAAAATCAAAAATATTAAAGATCAAAGTGGGAAGAAAAAATATTTTAAAGGCCAAAGTAGGAAAATTGTGAAACTTAAGGGAGGCAACTGTAACTTACCCATTTTATGCCACATGGATGTCCGTACGTTTTTTTGTCCAAAATTGGAAGAAAGTTTGTTTTAAAAGTAAATTGGGAAAATTTTCAAATATTAAGTGTTAAAGTGGGAAAAAAATATCTTTAAGGGCCAAAGTAGAAAAACCCTGGATTTTATTTTTTTTTTTGGGTGGGGGTATAATTTATCCATAAATAATTGAACAAATAACATTTCAGTTAGACAGTTTTAAAATAATTGCATTACAAGAAATAGAAAAACATTTGTGCAAGGTTGTCATCAAACAAAGAAGGAATCTTTCTTTTTGACGTGAAAAAAATTGAAATATTTAAGAATGGTTTTTTTATTTTCTATGGAAAAAAAAAACACGTAAAAAGTAGATAAAAATAGAAGGAATCATTAATTCTTTTTGAATAAATTTTTTGATTTAAAAAAAAAATAACAATGATTTAGACCATTAAGAAATACACTACTAATAGCACTAATGTATTGGGAATGGTAAAAAAAAGAAAAAAAAAAGAAAAGAAACAAGGCATAGAAAGTGGGCGGGGCCCACTGCCACATCATTAGTGGTCCTTTTAGTGCTCCATTTCTAATGCTCCTAAGCATTTTTCATTAAAAAAAATAACTTTTTGACAAAATCAACTTATTGCTAATTGTAGCCAAGATTGAGCATCATGTGATGCTTTGGGCCCATAAAATTTTTCCCACAAGTCAAATGATATGTGGGCAAGAATATGGTCAGCGGTGGAACAAAATATTATGCACACAGGGATAGAGGTGTTTGCATAAAATAAAATAAAAAAAGAATAATTTGGATACATTGGTAACAGAAGATAATTTCTTACACAAGTAGACATACCCCTTTGATTTTCAAAATTGAAAAACAAGAACAGAAGTCCATGGAGATCTTCTATAAATAAAATAAATTAGATTATGTTGGTGTGAAATAGTTAGAGATCATCCCATTATACATTGTAAGACTTGATGACATAAAGAGTTAGTAAAATAATTTATAAAAAATTAATAGGCAATCTTATTATACATTTTATTAATATCATGAAATGTAGAGATATAAATGTAATTTTCATAAACTTTGGGATGGCACTCCCTTAAAGTAAGTTTTGAAATTTATAAATAATATTTAAAATTGGTTAAAATATTTAATTTAAATATATATATATATTTTTTTTTAGTCTGGTTGATTGGATCCTCACCAATCTTGGGTGTAGTGCTGGCATATGATTGTGCTACCTTCTTGGTGCCAACCTAGTTGGGATTGTGAAGTGTAGTTATGATGCTTATTGCACCTCCTTCCTTTATTGATGTAAGTTTTTTTGTTTGTAAAGCTTATTTCATCAATAAAGTTTATCTTTTGCCGATCAAAAAAAAAAAAAATATTTTGTGTGGAAATGCAGTTGGGAATGGGAAGTGCATTAGAAACACTATGCGGGCAAGCATATGGAGCGGGGCAATTTAGGATGTTAGGAGTGTATATGCAGAGATCATGGGTGATCTTATTGACCACCGCTTGTCTTATGATTCCCATCTATGTCTTTTCTCCTCCCATTCTGGAATTTGCTGGAGAAACTACCGAAATTTCTCAAGCCGCAGGTGATTGATTCTTAATCTCTCCCCTCTCTTTTTTTCCTCTCATCAATCTACTCATATTATAGAGGATGATTTGAGGTTATTTATTTATTTTGGACCCATCTCTAAACAACTGTGTTAAATGCATATAAAATTTTTGTAACATAAATCACAGGAAAGTAACAAAAACGAGTCGGATTTTATTGAACTAAACTTTTTCAGCTCTAAATTGTGTGATAAAGTACCGTGGCGACTCTAGAAAACTTATAGATGGATCACCTTACAAGTTTAAGTTTTAAAAATTCTGTTAAAATCTTTTTAAACTAAACAATATTTAGGCCAAGTTTGGGAAGTCCCAAATAATCCATCTTTTTATCTTTTTATCTTTTTTCCATCACATCACCTCTCTACTTTTCTGCACATCTTTTCGTAAAAAGATAAAAAGTGCACTTATTTAGGTCATCTCAAATAACCCCCTAGTTTTCATTTAGAAACTTGACTTTTAGGTTAAAAAGGCCAAAAAAAAAACTATATATATAAAGAAAAAGATTAGAGTTGCTTTTCTCTCTCTCTCTCTCTCTATATATATATATATATCTATATATATCTTGTGTCGCGATCGAGATTGAGATTGGGACTATGTGTTTCACGATTGGAGAAGGCAGCGACGACAACTAGGGTTCACAATTGTAGAGGGTAGCGACGGTGGATAGGGATTGCAGAAGGCAACAACGACTAGGGTTTCGCAAAGAAGAAAGCTACTCGATGGTTATGGTTGGAGATATGCAAGAGTGGTATGGATTGGGGTGGTGCCGGATATAGATGACGGCAGAGTTGCAAATAAAATGTCATATATGGGGGCTGGATGCTAGCGTTGAGGCGACGGTGAGGGTGGGCAGTGACAATTAAGGTGATGGAGATGGCTGGTGGAATTAGGGTTAAGATTTGGAAAATTAAGATTAGAAGGTTAGGGATGAAAGTAAAAATAAAATTTTATATTTGGACAAAAAAAAAAATTTTAAAAATGAACAAGGTAGGGATTTTAAGGAAAAATATAAGAATAAATAGTGACACTCTACATTGAATTACTGCTAGCATAGTATAGAAACACACATCAAATTACTATTAAAGTTAAAAGGTGTTGCTAACTACCATCATAAGGGCATCGATTATAAAATAATAATAATTTTAATATACATTTTACTTATATATTTATATATATATTTTACATATTTTAATAGTATATGTGGTGGGTAAAAATCGAACCACTAAGGCTGCGGCGGTGACACGGCGGAGATAGCTTGATTCCTGACCCAAAAAACACTTAAATAAAGGTAAAAATGGGGATGGCTAGAGCAGCCTGGGGACCCTCCGATGCCTAAGTCAGTGATAGAAGTAAATAAAAGTTGAAGTGTTTTCATACATTCATGGCCCGAAAAACACTTAAATAAAGGTAAAAATGGGGATGGCTAGAGCAGCCTGGGGACCCTCCGATGCCTAAGTCAGTGATAGAAGTAAATAAAAGTTGAAGTGTTTTCATACCTCCATTGTGCTAATTGGTTCCCCTTTTATAACGCTCCTACTAAGCGTTGTAGGCTGTTAGGCTTCCCCCACTCCTTACGTCAACCCCCTTTCCTTAGGGATTGTATTCCACCAGATACAGATTTGTAGGAGTTGGTTGACCCTAAAATAAAGGGATGTGGGTTGATTGGGTCTGCGCCCTTCTTGGGCATGCTTTCTACCGCCTTTCTCCTGTCCTAAAACTTCTTTGGCCTAATCTGGTCATGGGCTGCCAGGCCAGACTCAAACTATTCTGGGCTAACCTACTATTTTGCTGGCGATGATGCCTTCTTACTGCCAGCCTAAGAATTTTAATCCTGCCTTATGTTGATTCATTTTTTGCCTCCCATAATTGCCTCCAAACTATGGCTTCTTTTTCTTTCTGGGCTGAAAAAGGAGTTAGAGTTTTGATTACAATTGCACAAGTTTTTACCCGTAATCCTAGGGCTTCATGCCTAGAGTTTCAATTTTCAAACGGCATGATGTCCCTGCGTGTCACACCCCCACTTTTATTACTCGGATAATTTACCAATTTTCCTTATAAAAGTCCATTCCCAAAAAGAGTTGTAGAAGTAACACTAGCTAAATAGAATAAAAGAGGTTCACTCTCACGTAAATACAATAATACTAAAATGTTCACAACAATATTCATAGTACATGCCAAAAAAGCTTACATAAGGTTTCAAAATAAATAATTACATAGAAGGAACTGCCTTAACACAACTATCCTTTAATCTTCATTCACAATTTACATGAGACAGACTCATAATAAAATAAGTAACTTCTTGATTTTCCAACTATTGTACTTGACTCCGTCCCTAAAAAATGGTTAAATAACATGGGACGAACACGAGGTCCAATAGGGATTTACAGTGATTCTCAACAATAATAATCAATAAATAAATGTGATCATGAATGCTATCAAATGATACAGATATAAATAATGTGTCCTTTTATATGCAAAATCGATTTCATATATAGATACTCCTTTCACAAAATCCCACCTGACATTTCATAGAGACCTTCTTTGTTAACTCTTTATCTCATCAAAATTTATTCGAATAATTTCCTTAAACCTCGTTTCCTTAGATAAAGGTTTTAAGCCTACTAATTATTTACTACTTCTAGTTCATATTTCACACTCATTAATTTCCCCACAACTCGACACCTTACTAATATACACAAAACACCAAACACATACACACCACAACAAATTTCGCAAAATTGGAGTATAAGAGTTAACTCATTAACAACATATTCCACATTACACACTTCAAATTTACATGTAATAGTTTTCATAATTACATAACATGATTATCACAAAATTTTCAATAAGCATCTACATGCCAATAACCGGCTTTACCAAGCCATACCAACAAACTACACACTTTACCAGGCGCTACTCCAGAAGGAATGTGGAACCTCTATCAAGCGCCACACTTTACCGGTCACAGGCTGGAAGGAAAACGGAACCTCACGCTTTACCAGTCACAGGCCGAAAAGAACCGAAGCCTCCACATATCTTGATAGACCACAGGCTTTTCCGAGTGCTACTTCGGAAGGAATGTGAAAGCTTTATTAAGTGTCACGCTTTACTGTTCACGAGCCAGATGGAAACGAATCCTCATTCCAACATCATAATCCATCAATTTCTCATAACATTCATTAATTTCATTTTATAATTTAAACCAACAACACTCAATTCCTCAACAATAAAAGTAAAATTTCATCTTTAGAATGAGCATCATTTATTTCCCATAACATTCTTTACCCTTCAACACCAACACTTCTTATTCAATTATATATATATATACCACAATTTATATCATACTCTTTGCATCAATGTTTTGGAACCCAGATCGGACTAGCCGGTCGAACCGGGAACCGGGCCTTTGTCCGGTCCGGTCCGGTTAACCCCCTAAAACTGGACTAGAAGCAAAACCGGCCTAGAAATGAAAAATCGCCGGACCCGGCGGTCGAACCGGGAAAACCGGTGACCCAGAACAGGTTTGGCGAGTTGGACCGGTGATTTTTTTATTTGTTTTTAATTTTCTTTCTTTCTTATATATATATTATAAACATATTTTAAAATTTTGACTAAAAATTCTTACTTCAAGAGTCTCCTCTCATAAGAAAGAGTCTCATTGGAAGTTGGAGAAGATTATGAAAGTCTATTCCTATTTATAGGAGAAAAAATTTCAAAAAGAACCTACAAAATTCTATGTGGGATTCAATCAAATTATTTGAAACATATTGATGGGAGGGAGAGTTGAAAATTTCATTTCCCTCCAAAATTAAACCTAACATTGAATCAATTTGTTTGGAGGGAATGCTTAAAAATTTTAATTTCTTTAAAACAAGTGACTTTCTTTTTATCAATTATGACTTTATTAAATATTATTAATAAATATTATACAACAATTTTTATTTTTATTTGAGTATTTATATATATTTTTATTTATTTTTAATTTTTAATTATATTTTTTAATTATATAATATTAATTATGACGTCACAGTTCGACCGCTTTGACCTGACAGTTGAACCGGTGACCTGTCCACCCGGTCCCTTTTCCGGTTCGCTCACCGGTCCGGTTTTCAAAATATTGCTTTGCATAACTCATTAATCCAATTCTCATTATCAAATTCTCCAACTTAGCCTTCGTATGCAATAAGCATTTTCACTACAATTAATAGTCATCATTTATATTCATCTTAATAATCATAATCTTAATTTCATGAATCTAAGGTCAATTGAAAACATTCCTTATTTCAAAAATAAACCTTATACCTAGAATTTGACATAAATTAGGGCTTTACTATAAAACACAAAATCATGTTCTAACTACTCAAAACTCCCTTAATCCACTTCAATATTACATTTAGCTCCCTCAATTTAAAAACCCTAACTTCATTTTCATGCCTTTAAGAAAAATCTCCTCCACAAGAGGTTTTTATGCAATACAAATACACCACCCATCTATCTATGAGAAAGTATTGAAGAGAAACAAGGAAATCTCTACCTCAAACAAGAAGAGGAAAAATCCCAAAAATCTAAAGTCGATGAAAACAAGATTCGCTCAGATTGATAGGAAGCCCTTGTCGTGTTCTTCGTTTTTATATAAGGAACATGGGTAAGAATCTTACTCTAAGGAGATGAAATCCTAGCTTTTATGAGCTTGGAACTAAAAACTATGGCTGATAGGAAAGAGATGAGAGAGAAAGAATTTGAGAAAATGAAGAAAAGTGGACCAAAAATGTCTTTTAAAGATGTTGGATCCGAACAGACCACTCGAGCGACCTCTTTTGCACTCGAGCGTGAGAGACACCACATCGCTCGAGCAACCAATCTTGCACTCGAGTGAACATCAACAACTTCTAGAATCTTAGACCTACAAAAGTACTGAAAGCTTCGCAAGACTACTCGAGTGATCATTCCATCGCTCGAGCGATGAGAAAAAAAAGAA